AAGTTAGCTGACATTTTTGATTTTTTTCATTTTGCTTAATTTATTAAATAACAACAAAAAAATATTTAAAAAAAATTGCACTTATTTTTTTGTAATAATTCTTTAATAAAAAAAAAAAATCATAAATATTTTATCATTGCTAAATTCAGTTTCATAATTATTGATATAATTTTAAGGTTTCTGATTTAAAATTATAAAAATAAATAACAATATTTTAAAAATTCTCAACAAATAAAAACAAATTTTAATTATCGAGCAGTCATATAAAAATGACATATTAGCTTTAATTAATAATCATCATAGAATAATTTTAAAAATTTTACCAGAAAGTGAATAGTCATTATGCCTGCTTTCAGAATCACGAATTAAAAATGCCCCATGATCATTCTCTGGCAATAGAAGCTTCTTCTCGGCCTCAATACGTTTGATCTTTCTGAAGTACCACCTATAAATACACACGAGACATGAGTATAAAAATTGAATGCATTTGGAGAAAGTTAGCATGTAATATCAGTGGAGCATTGCAAGAAAAATAAAAATTAATTGTCTGAAAAATATGACCTTAAAAAGTAACTAATTAATAACAACATAAAAATAACAACTAATAAAAATAACTTACGGTTCAGCCTCAATAGATTTAAGTTTAGCAACATAATTGCTGGGTATGTAACCTTCTTGTCTGGTTCTCTTACTTCTAGCAAGCCACCAATCACCCTGAGTATCATTGAGTATCTCCAGATGTTCTCCCTTACGAAAGCTAAGATCTTCATCAGTCCTAGCATCGTAATCATAGAGAGCAACGAAGACTTTTGCAGAAGGTACATCTGCGTCTGGAATTTGCGGTACAGGCCTTATAGGATCTGGCGGAGGAGTTGGTACCGGACTGGCTTGTGAAGCAACCGCTTCAATACTAGGATTTCCAATCCTATCAGACTTTTCTGTCTCAGTATCTGTCGGACTGCTAAAACAGTTTCCCATGATTTTTTTTTTTTTTTTTTTTTATTTATTAATTAATGTCTAATCACATTAAACAACAATAAAAACAATAACATCAACAACAATAACACAAAAAAATGGCCGTTGTTGCTTCTTTTATAAATTAATTATCTCCAAATAGCTTTGGTAGTGTCAGCTGACTTTGTTTCATGCCACTTAATATTCTTTTATATTCTCACACATTATTTGAATATCAAAAAAAAATTATTTTCACAATTTCCTGTTATGGAGTAAGGAAGTAAATCTTTGATTACTCATCAAAGATAAACGTAATGAATTATCCGTAAATAATTATAAAAAAAAACTTGTATAGAACTCATCAAAAATAATTACTAATTAAAAAAAAAACATAAATAATTCACGACAGGGCGTTTCTTTGACAAATGATTTAATATATATTTTTTCACGCATCCGATGCGTCTCGTATATCGCCATGTATCCTCTATCCATGGATTGTGATACAAATCGACAGATGCTGTTAATAAATAATGACGGGTAAGTATCAGGAGAATGTAAAAAATTTCAAACTGTGATTATTATTATCCAGGAACTTGGCACGGTCAATAGCCATTGCAGCCACCAGTTACACTGTTTATTATATTTTTATTATTTATATATGTATATATTTTATTAAAAAGGTTTAAAGGACGTGTGAGGATAATTTAAGGAGCAAAGTAATCCATCCAAACGTTTTCACATGCGCCGTAATAACTAAATATTCTGGAATCAATGGACGTGAGAGAACGTATAGTTAACGAGGGGTCGACACACGCCCAACTGGGACATACATAAGACACAAACTGTACAAGCCACTACTAAACCGTCAGATTATTCACTTATATAAATATAAATACACACTATTAATATTAAATAAATGTTTAAAACTTTAAAAACACTCAACAATGTCCACTCTTGTCTGCAACAGTTGATAAAATTGATGATGATGACAAATAGAACAGCTCTAATTTTAAGAGCGACATTTTAACCACGAATTACTATTACTATTACTTGTTACTGGTCTATTGCTTATTGCTTGATAATACGTTTGTCCCCTTCTACATTACTTGTACATAAATATATAGCAGACCAGAACCAGGATAGGATTTACTGTCTTTTTTTTCTTATTGTCTTTATCTTTATTTCACTCAGCTTGACAACGTTGGAAAAAGCGCGAGGTGAAAACATCACCCATAGTGAATTGTGAATATGCAGGTGGGTGAATGTGACCAAGTGCTGCTGCTGATGTTGCCTTTACTTATTATAGATATATTATATATCTTTTATCTTTTACTTTCTTATGTTCGTAGCTACTCTATTCTACGGGATTTACGGGGTAGAGTCGTACAAAGCTAAGCTAGACTCAACTGGGAATTCAACTTTTGTTCGTACTTGCTCGTGAACTAACCGAACATACCCGATCTTTATATGTTCACTCTTTTTCTTTCTCTCTCTTCGTCTATTAACTTTTAGAGTTATTATTATTCTTACTCCTGTTCCTGTTGCTCCCTTTTATTTATTTGAAACCATCGACTGATGCTTACCAACTGTTTTTTATTTCATTTTATTTCTTTACCTTATTTTTTGCTCCTTGTTCCTATTACCTGGTATGGCTACGAATGTCTCAATAGCTTTTTCACTTTTTTCATTTTTTAATTTATTATACAACTGGAATTATGTGAACCATTTTTAATTTCATAGGACCTGTCAAAGTGCGTTAGTTATTATTATTATTGTTTTTTTATGATCTAAAATTTTTTACTTCAAATATTTTAACTATTTTCTTTATTATAAACTTCATTGAGCTCCGCCCTGCTTCTTAAGGTTGATCGGGTGTGAGGTATAGTTTATGCTATTGCTTTCTCACTTGCTAGTACTGTCTTTCTTATACATTATTGCTAACTCTCAATTTTACTCAGTTATTTTATATTTTATAAAAAAAAAAAAAATTATTAACAAAACCTTAAATAGGAATACATATATTTTTTTCTAATATAATTTTTTAATTTTTTTTTCTGATTAAATTAGAACTAAAAAATATTTTGAAAAATTGCACTGATAGTTTTTGAAGTTTTTTACAAATGAAAATTTGTTTTTGTTTTTTTTGTAATAATTTTTTCAATAAAAAAAAATTCTAACAATTTTCATTTTTTTCTTACATAATCTTCAAGAAGAAATTTATAAAAATAAAAGTTTTTTATCTTCAGTAGGTTTGGCAAGATTATTTAAAATATAAAAAATATATTAATGTGTTCAGATAACAATTATTATATGAACAAGTTAAAAGTCCGCTTTTTTATTATGATTAATTACACAAAAATTCTATGATACTGAAGTTAACTGACACTTGTCAATATTTTTAGTTTTTATAACAAATCAATTATAATAAAAAAAAAATATCCACTTATAATTTTTTTGAAATTTCATATGTAGAATTTTTTTATTAAATTTTTTTCATATTTATTTAATTGCTATAAAATTATTAAACAAAGTTTCTTTAAGTTAATTTCAGTACCATAAAATTCTATTATACTACAATGAGCCGACGTTCCATAATTTTTGATTTTTTTCATTAATTAAATTGTAAATACAAAAAATGATATTAAAGTTAGCTGTCACTTGACTAATTTTTAATTTTATTTAACAAAAAAAATTTTTTTTTAAAATTGCATTTTTAATTTATTAAATTCTCTAAATGTCAATTTTTTTATGTCCAGTAATTTATTTATTAGAAAAATTATTAAAGATTTGCTAAATTAATTTTGATGTAAAAAAATATTTAAAAAAAATTGCATGTATAATTTTTTTAATTTTTTACATGTGAAATTTTTTAAAAATAATTTTTCAATAAAACAAATTATAGAAATTTTAAAATGTCAGCTAGTTTAATTTTCATTAAAATTTTTTTCAAACATCAGAAATTAAGATTTTCTTCTTTACATTATGAAAATTAATTTAGCAAATATTTTTAACAAATAAATTATGTCAAAGAAAATTAGAAAAAAAATTGACATTTAGAAAATTAAATAAATAAAAAATGCAATTTTTTAAAAATAATTTTTCGGAGCAAATTTATTTATTAAAAAAAAAAATTAAAAAATGGTCAAACGACTGCTATAACTTTAATGTTATTTTTACATTGCTTTAAAGTCCGATCAACCTTAATTAAAGATTTTTCTAGAAAGATAAATTCTTGAAAAGACCTTGAAAATACACCTCTACTTTCATTAAACATTCTCACTTATATAATAAGTAGAAGTCAAATTATAAAAAATTTTATACGTGTATATAAGTACTTACACTTAAACAAAAGTTGGATAGAATATGGAATACAGTCGATAAGTCAGAATGACAGAGTCAGCTGACAGAGTTGAAATGTCAACAGATCTCATAAGTTTACTAAGTTTACCCGGCAATTACATGGAAACATTTCCAATCACCTGAAAAAAATTCTCCAGTAAAAATTGTGAGTTTTTTTAAAATAAAAATGATAATAAATAATTTTATTTGTAATAATTATACTTGTTTCTTTGGGTTACAGCGGTGAAAAAATCAAATCATTGTAGGTTAAGCTTCTCAATTTGTAAATAAAAACAAAAGGTGAATTGTTTATAAACAATAGTTGATAATAATATGTCAGCACTTGGATTTTTTCCAATTGAAGGAGCTTTTCATCGTGCACTGATCTTCATGTTCAAACTGGCCTGGAAGTCTCGATTCCGACTACCTGTTCTCATGATTGCAGCCTTTGTTGTTATGGATATCAGAATGCAGCTCGAAATAGACGTCCACGTTAGAGATGTCGATAATCAGGAGAATCCATAAATGTTTTTCTTATTTTTGTTATAAGTTATTTTAAAAATTTAAATTATTTATTTTGTTAATAAGTGTACATAGGCCTGAAATTTTATCTCAAATATTTTTTTTATATTTTAGATGGTAAGCAAATTAGGGACAATAAAGTTAGCCGACATCTAAGAATTTTTAGAATTTTTTTTATTAAAAAAATGATTACAAAAAAAAATAGTAAAAAAAAATTGTCATTTGTAAAAAACTTTAAAAACTGCAAGTGCAATTTTTAAAAAATATTTTTTTGTTCTAATTTAATTATTAAAAAAAAATTCAAAACGTCGGCTAACTTTACTTTTATAGCAAATTAATATTTAATAGCGCGAGTTTAATTATGCAATACTAATAATACAATGTTTAATCTAATTGTGACAAAATGTGATTTTTAGAATTGAATAGTTGTGAAATTTAAGTAATATAAAATGAAACCTTTTGTATCTTAATTAAAAAATTTTTAAGGTTTCCACTTCAGTATATATACAAAAGAATTAAATTCAATAGTTACTACAATTGATCACTGTGAAATAAAAAAGGCTCGTAGAATGTTTATAAATTCAACTGTTACTTTGTTAACTATTTTTTTAGTTTTTAATGTTATTGTTGAGATTTCGTGCCGAGAAGCTTTAAATCCTGATGAAGATATCGGTTTCCCACCGATAACAGATATGGTAAATTATTTATTTAATATTTAATATTCATAATAGTAAAGTTAGCCGACATTGTTAATTTTTGGAGTTATTTTTAAATTATTAAATTAGAATTAAATATTATTTTTAAAAATTGCACTTATAGTTTTTAAAGTTTTTTACAAGTGAAAATTTTTTTGTAATCATTTTTTCAATAAAAAAAAATTATAAAAATTTTTAAATGTCGGCTAACTTAGTTTTTCATTTAATATTCAATTTTATTGCTTATTATAATTTTATTATTTGTTTTAGAGTGAGTCTCTTCGGGAAAAATTGATTGAGAGTCATACTCAAGTTCCTTGTATTATTGAATATCAAATTGTAAGTAGATATATATTTTTTTAATAGGGTAGAAGTACCGTTTTTATGAAAATAAAGTTAGCTGACGTGTAAAAATTTTTGTAATTTTTTTTATTAAAAAAATTATTGCTAAAAAATTGTTTAATTGTAAAAAAGTTCAAAAACTATAAGTGCAATTTTTTAAAAATATTTTTTAGTTATAATTTAATAAATTAAGCAAAATAAAAAAATCAAAAATGTCGGCTAACTTTATTATTATAAATTAAGTTAGACACTAAAAAATTTTTGATTTTTTTTTTAATTAAAAATTAGATTTAAAAAACTATTTTTAAAAAATTCCACCGATAATTTTTAAAATTTTCTACATGTAAAAATTTTTGTTTTAAATTTTTAAAAATTATTTTTCAATAAAATAAATTATCAAAATTTTCAAATGGCTAACTTAATTTTCATCCGTTTTTGGCTACTTATCATTTGAATTAATTTATAAACAATTATAATATTATAACCATATTTTTGTTAAGTTTTAAAAAATTTATATTAAAACAAATTGAGTTTGTTAATGGTTTATTAATATAAATTTATCTCTATCGTTTATTTGAACAATAAATGGCCATAAACGGTACTTGTACCCTAATTTAAAGGGGATAGCCTCCTTAAATCTGTATTATTTAAAAAAAATTTTAATTTTAATTTTCTTTACACTAATTAATTTAATTTGATTATTAAATAATTTATATTTTCATTATAGACAAAACGAAAAATAGGAGAATGTGGAAAATTAACTGGAAGTATCCGCGGATGTGTTTCTGATTCATTAGTCAACCCATTTCACCCCGACTGTTTGTAAAATAATCAAGAAAATTATTTTTACTGTATAAATTTATACAATACTCTTATTGATCTACAAATGAATAAATAAATATTTAAAGATAAAATTTTATTTATTTAAAAGATCAAGTGTGACATGGTGATAGATTTTATTAAATCCCTCTTGAGCTGAGGTGATAAGTTTGGATTAACTATGATCGCAAAACCACAGGGATGCAATTGAGAATTCATTGCCCGGAAATAATTTACTTGAACGACAAATATTTATCAATGTTAATGTTACTACTTTATTTAAGTTTTTTGGAGGGGATAGATGTATAAAATAAGATGTAGGTAGGTAGTTTCAGCAACAATGAAGTTCCCAAGTTTAGTTTGTTTGGCGCTCCTCGGATTCTGTGGTGTTGAAGCTAATTATTTCGGTTATTACTTGATATTAATTTAAATTTTAATTATTTTTTTAAAATTTTATTATAAATGGTATTTTTTTAGCCAATATTTTGAACGCACTGTACCAAGATGTTAAATTTATCAATCAGAGAGTTGATCAAGTTAATTTCGATACTATTTTCGGAGTTGCGCTTGCAGAAGGTATTTTTTTTTAAATTAAGTTATTGTTTTGATTAATTAAAAATTCAATGATTATTTTTAGCTAACTTAATTGCGGTTTTGTCATCGAATGATAAATTTTTATCTGATGATCAGTGGGATTCGCTCAATGAAATTGTAAGCTTGTGTCGAAGATCTCGGAATTATTTTAGTAAACAATTAAATACTAAAAATGACTCTTTTCTTAACCGTAAGTACTTGATAATAATTAACATTTAATAACAATAATCTAATTATTTTGTTCAGACTTATAGAATTCAATATTAATTAAATTCAAGTTGTTTCGGATCGTATTATTTATTCGATAAATTTTCCAATTCGGCAATATCGTGTCTAAAAATTAATATAAATCAGATTAATTAGATTGCATACATGAATTGCAATAAATAAATTAATTTAAACTAGCAATCTTGCAATCACTATGTGACTGCCGTGACTTATAAACTATAAATAAATAAAATTTACTTTATTAAATAATGACTTTTGTTAAATTGCACTGTATTTTCTTAAATATTGACGCTTTTAAGGATATAAGCTCATCCCGATGTTGCACCCATCAAGAGCTTTCATTTGAGTACCCACTTGCATTTTTTATATATACATATATATAATATATATATATATAAATATATGAAAAGTTGATGTGGGTACTCAAATGAAAGGTCTCGATGAGTGTAATGTCGGGGTGAGCTTATATCTTAAAAAATGTCAATAGTTGACAAGATACAAGTTGACAAGGTCATTTCTTAATTATTGACGTTTTTAAAGATATAAGCTCATCTCGATGTCACACTCATCAAGAGCTTTCATTAGAGTACCCACATACATTTTGACATATATTTCATATATACATATATATATATAATATATATTAATATATGAAAAATTGATGTGGGTACTTAAATGAAAGCTCTTGATGAGTGTAACATCGGGATGAGCTTATATTTTTAAAAATGTCAATAGTTCACAAGATATTCGTTAAATTGCACTGTACTTTCTTAACTATTGAC